TTCACTATTGTTGCAATGTGCTTTCCCACCTTTGCGTATGGAAATGCCCAGTGTCCCACCTGCTTTGTGACACCTTCCTTGATGACCTCACATAGGAGAGGTCATATTTTATATTCATTCAGTGATTGCTTCTTACTACTTCAGCAAACATTCTGTAAGGATGTAGAAGGGATATAAAGAATAATTCAATGCAGCCCCCTGTTCTCAAGTGTAATCAGTTGCTGATCTAGTCACACAAACAATGGTCTGTAATATAATGTTAAATTCGAAAATAGAGGTATTAGCAAGTGCTGGGATCAAAGACTGTATACACAATACCTTGAAGGGAGGCCCTGTCTGCTTGTTTTTGTTTAATCCTTTTTGTACTGTGTAGGGTTTTTGGTAATATTAGTTCCTTTTGTTAAATGCTCTTATTAGTAAATTTCTCTTCTGCACTATTCTCTTGCAATATTCCAATGACTTTGCTTTCTCTAGTAATTCTGCCTTCCTTTTTTTTTTTAATCACTCTTTCCTTTGTATGGTTTTTGGATATGTGTATAAGCAAGGAAAATACTGACTCAGTTTAAAAACAAATAATCCTACTTCACCATTTTGAAAATTGTCAGTTGTATTTCTTTTCAGGTCATTTATGTATGAAAAAAACAAATTCTTTTAACAATGGTTTTTCAGTAAAATGGATTGTTTTACAATGGCGTCACGACTACCCACAGCATAGGATCTGGTAGCTAGCAAGAGCTCAGCAATTCTAGTATGGATACTAGAAAGAAACTTGGCTGATTCCTTATGCTGTTGCTCAAACTGATTTACTGAGAAGTTCCTACTGAAGTTTTCCTCACTCATCTGTCAAACTTAGTACTATAGACAACCACCCAAGGCATCAAGGAAGACTTCTCCAAAATGTCCACTCTAAACTGTTAAGCAATGTGCACTGCAAGCTCTGTGGAGAATGAGCTCTAACTCCAATTAGCTATTCATCCATCTCTCTACAGAGGACAACTGCAGGTTTGTAGCATCCACAGGTCACTGTCTTAAACATGAACAGTGTTTCAGTGATTCACAAAGTCTCATAAGGGCATTTACCATCTTTACCATGTGCACCTGATCCAGTACAGTGCCTGGCATGTGAATAAAAGAGGAAATGTGGACCAAAAGCTTAATTTAGCCATTTATCAAAGCTATGTTTTAATCGGTGCCCAGACTGTGAATAACTATCTTGAATGTATGTTGTGTGCAAGCCAGCCTCCTACCATTGTCTGCTGGGATGTGGCAGGCACAGGGAAAAGATGAAGTTTAACAAAAGAAAAACAGTTCTAAGAATCAGCAGTATGCCAGCTTCTTAGGCGGCAATCCCTTCCAAATCCTCCCTGTGTTTTTAAAGGTTGTTAGGATTTAGAAAACGAACATCTAATAAGCCTTCTGTAGGCTGAAAGGCCCGTCCCTGCCCCTGCTTCTGCTAAGGTTATACCATCCAGGCAGTGCACAGGAGTGGATGAATGTCTGAGCCTTTCACCAGTCAGCCCTGCATAGGGTCTGTGGGTCTTGAGGGGTGGGAAGGGACAACAGCCTGGGGTGTGAGGGGGTCAGATGTGGTTGCAAATAGTCCTTGTCAGTTTAAAGCATCTAAGTCACACCCAGTGTGCTCTAATTGGGGAGGTGGTTAGGAACTCTTGTTAGAGGATATTTTTTAAAGTTAAAAAAAAAGGTATTTAGGAATGTTTTAATGAATAGCAAAGAGTGATATATAAACTGCTTATAAATGCAGAAAATTTAAACCCAAGTGTTATAACAGTGATGACACAAGGAATGAACAAAATTGTTTTCTTTCAAAATGAGGTGACTCTTCCTGAAAACTTCCATTCTTTTCATTCATAGATGATTTTTATTTGTTAGATTATTTCCAGGATATTAGTTAAGAATTTAAATCAAGGGCATTCATTTTCTTATAGGGTAATTTTATTTTTTTTATCATTAGAGTTGAAGTTAAAGTGGCTAAGTAGAGACACTTAAATTTATTTTCTCCTGTTAAACTGTATTCTTCTTGTGGAAGTTATAGAATATGTATTAAGGCTATCTGGAGACACAAGTAGACAGTGTACACTGTACCTTAAAGTAATCATTTCATATTTATTCACATTAATTTTGCAGCATCAAGGGAAAGCTATGATGAACCTATGATAAAGCTACTTGAAGCACTATAGCTAGTTTAAAATCACTGTGAGGAAAGTCATCTATAGTTCAACAGATAGAGATATTTGGGAAATATTTTTGAGCTCCTGTGTTGGGAACATAACAGGTATCACCTCAAATAACAGACATATAATTGTTTTGTATTATTAAAATAAAAATATTGTTATGCTCCATATTTTAACTAACATATCAATTATTAAAATATATTGCTTTTCACTTAGAAATCAGCTTTAAACAGGTTCCTACCTTTTTCTACAATATGTGATTTTATTTTGTTTTTTCAAGCTTTATTGAGATATAACTGACATATAATGTTATGTTAAGTTTAAGGTGTACAAGTGGTTTGATACACATATATATTTCAAAATGTTTACCAAAATAAAGTTAGTTAACACATTCATTCTTCAACTCTCATAATTACCATTTTAATGATGTTATTTTATGGTGAGAACTTTAAAGCTCTACTCTCATAGCAACTTATAAGTACACCACACAGTACTATTAACTACAGTCACCATGCTGTACATCTTACAACTGAAGATATGTATAATTTGACCAACATCGTGCCACTTACCTATTCCCCAGCACCTGCAACTACCACTTTGCCATGTTTCTATGAGTTGAATATTTTTAGATCCCACATAGAAGAGAGGTCATACAGTATTTGTGCTTTTCTGTCTGACTTATTTCACTTAGTATAATGCCTTCAAGGCCCATCTCTGTTGTCATAAATGACAGGATTTCCTTCTTTTTATGGCTAAATATTATTCCATATATGTACACCACATTTTCTTTATCCATTCATTTGTCTGTGGTTATTTCCATGTCTTGCTATTATGGATAACTTTGCCATGAATACAGTAGTGCAGGTATCTCTTTGAAATCCTGATTTAATTTTCTTTGGATATATATTCAGAAGTGAGACTGTGAATCATATGGTAGTTCTATTTTTAATTTTTTTAAGAATCTTTATACTTTATCCATAGTGGCTGTACCAATTTACATTCCCACCAACAATGCACTAGAGTTTCGTTTCTCTGTATCTTTTCCAGCATTCGTTAACTCTTTTCTTTTCAATTACGGCCATTTTAACAGGTATGAGGTGTAGCTCATTGTGTTTTGTTTTGTTTTTAATCCTCACCTGAGGATATTTCTTCCGCTGCTTTTCAGAGAGAATAGAAAGGAGAGAGAGAGAGAAAGAAGCATTTATGTGAGAGAGACACATCGATCAGTTGCCTCCTATATGTGCCCCAACAAGGGAGTGGACTACAACCTAGGTATGTGCCCTGAATGGAAATTGAACCCCAGACCTTCCAGTGAACAGGACAATGCTCCAACCAACTGAGACACACCAGCCAGGGTTGCTGTCTCCTTTATAAAGACCAACACTTTATGATGGCTCTTTTCCTTTTTTAAAAAAAATATACCTTTTTTGATTTCAGAGAGAGGAAAGGAGAGGGAGAGAGAGATAGGAACATCAATGATGAGAGAGTCATTGATTGGCTGCCTCCTGCATGCCCCCAAATGGGGATCGAGCCCGCAACCCAGGCATGTGCCCTGACCAGGGATCAAACCCTGATTGCCTGGATCCTAGGTCAACCCTCAACTGCTGAGTCACACCCGGCCCGTCATAAGATGGCTCTTTCAATGAGCATTGACACTTTCTTCAAAAAAGTATTACCTGCCCCCCAAAATGATCACCTTTTTCACCCCAAATGTTCACATTCACACAACCACAGATGCCATGATACTTTCAAGGTACATCTGTTAAACAACAAAATGAAGCTTCAAATTCAAAATTGCCTTCTTCCTTAACAATTCCAAATCACAATTAAAAAATTAAAAAGCCTGAATCTTCTCTTTCAATTAACATAATTCCCATAAAATATTAGCTTTATATATTTAGAATAGAGAAAATGAAACAGCAAGGTAGTCAATTGATTTTCAATTACATTTGGCAACTGGATGAGATGGAGATAATGGGGCATGTACTTACAGTTCAAACCAGTGACTAAATGGGAGGGTTCACATTTTAAGGATTCCACAAACCCCAAGTATGTAAATTAACACCTTTATTCACTAATTAACAGGTGGTTTTTTTTAAATAACATTTCACCTAGACATTCTACAGTGTTATAATTTTAAAAGAACACATATAGGAGTATTTTAAATGCTCCACTTAAATCCAAATGGATGACTATAATTAACTAAAGAATTGCAATTAAATAAATTTATAAAAGTAGATTTTCAAATAGAATTTGTATATAAAAGATAACCAGTCAAGCCCTGGCCAGTTTGGCTCAGTGGTTAGAGCATCAGCCCGTGGACTGAAGGGTCCCAGGTTTGATTCTGGCCAAGGGCATGTGCCCCAATTGCAGGCTAGATCCCCAGCTGTGGTAGAGGCATGTGCAGGAGGCAGCCAATCGATGTGTCTCTCTCACACCTATGTTTCTCTCTCTCTCTCTCTCCCTTCCACTCTCTCTGAAAACCAATGGAAAAAATATCCTTGGGTGAGGATTAAATTATATATACACACACACACACGTTATACATATATGTATATGTAAAACCAGTTAAAATATATAATGTATACCTATAGACAGACCTCTTTCTTTATAAATTCACCTTTAAAATTTTTAGCATATACTGTAACATTGTTATATATAGTATATAACTATACATAATATATACTCTTAGCATTCTCATTTAAGTAATAAAGATCCTTTAAGCTATTAAAACAAACTGCTAATAATCTAAAGCACAAATTTTTACATGATATTTAGCTCACACATTATTTTATACTGTATACTTACTACATCAAACTTCTGAGTGATGTTCCCCTGGACATCAAGTAAATAAACTTTGCCATAATGTGTGCCCAGTGCCAAGAACTGTAAGAACAGAGAGGTCAGTTTATTAATGTACCATTAACACACAATTACTAATAAAATCATTTTCAAAGTTAAGATCTTAATGCATAAGTAATCTGTAATGCCTTAGACGATATGCAGTCCTTGGAGAAGGTCTATTTCCAGCTTCAGGGAAATAACAGGACAGGGCCCACTTTACTGTGATAGTGCAAGCTAGCTGTCAGAATGACTCATGAGGACCCTCATCTACTGACAACTAATGGTGTGTACGTGGTCTGTACACAATGCCTCATGGACTGAGGCAGCAAATTAAAATGCAGGTATGAAAACATGACCAACCTAAGGTTGAACTCAAAGTCAGAAGGGAATTACTAAACAACTCACCTTAATTTATGGCTAATGTGTAAATCTGTGCTATCATTTAAATTCAAAATATATATACACAAATAACAAAGTACTATTTTTTAGAAAGAAAAATCCATGCCATATCAAAAGATGAAAAACTCAGATGTACTTATACTATCAGTTAGCATTAGAATGCCTCTATAAAAGTTAATGTATAATACTGAGTATAAATGTTTATATCCTAATGCAAAAAAAAAATCCTTTTCTGTCACAAAATAACTGCCGAGCTCCATATTCATCTTATGATATGAAACTAGTTCATAACTCCCACTGTTCCTTTCATCTGAACTTAAGCCAAAAGAAACTTTAGGACTACCTGAAATATGACATAAGATTTTTCTACCTTTTTATTTCTTTATGCTTTACTCAAAAAGTTCCAAATTCTCGGTAATTCAGTGCATGTGAGCATGCTTCATTGCAACCTATAATGAAATGCTCACATTTACAGGCACTACTAAGCATTTCAGTCAAGCAGCACAATCTTTAAAAAATAACCTTGTAGAAAGTCAAGATTTAAAAAGATTTATCAAAATGGAATTGCTTAAAATGAAATTTTGGTTCAGGCACTTAAAATATGAAGCTGCATTAAAGAGGAGTCACAAAAACGGAAATAAGGGGTTTGTTAGAAATTCATCCCCAGCAATGCCTTTCACTCCTGCAAGGTTGTGCCTTTTTTTAAAGAAGAAAAAAGTCCCCTGGGTAAAAAAATCAATACTGGTTAATAAAACATCAGATGTGCAGACATAACTAGGTATGACGACTCTGCTGCACAGGCCTGCCTGAATGCACCAGATGCCATGCCGATTACTCATCCAGGGCAGACAGCAAGCCTGGTGAAAACAGGATGCCTGGGCCCTAGGAAAGGGAAGGGGCAAGAGGTAATTCTGGGGGGAAATTAGTTTGAATATATAAACCAAACCAGGATGTTTTCTCCAAAGCAAAAGAAGATTCTAATCAGAAACAGAGGACTCAGTTGTAATATTTTCTCCACAGTGACACTGTCAATATTTGAATTAAAAAAACCACACAATACTAACTAAAAACAAACAGTACTCCACTTCACTACACCCCAAGGACTCTACAGTATTGACTCTCCTCATAAGTACTGTATTTAGTTTTTTAGAAAACTACAGGGGAATGGATCCTTAAAGCACTTTACTACTAGGACATTCTCAAACACCTCTGTGAAGGCCATATTTGAACTACCAATTATACTTTATTAAAGTTTTAAAGGTTCTAAGCAGGGTACTTTATCTAAACATTAATTCCTTCCCTTTTTCCTTTTTTATTAATTACTAGTTTAATCCATTTAATATTTAAGATAGGAAACAAAATAATTATTTTAATTTTATAGTTTCAACCTAAAACTATAATTACTTTAGAATATTTTTTGGGGGAAAATTACAGTGGTTTTCACAACAAGCTACTTTTGTTTACAAAAACATTTAATCAATTAGTCTGGCCAGCTTAGCTCAGCGGTTGGGCATCAACCTATGATCCAGAGATCATGGTTCGATTCTAGGTCAAGGTACATGCTCGGGTTTCAGGCCTGATTTCCCAGTAGGGGGCGCGCAGGAGGCAGCTGATCAATGACTCTCATCCTTGATGTTTCTCTCTCTCTCTCTCTCCCTTCCTCTCTCTGAAATCAATAAAGATATTTTTAAAAAACAACATTTAATCAGATTAGATAAATTACAGCTGCTCTCTTTTAGAAATAATTTTATGTACTTTAAAAAAATCGAAGTTTGATAAGCCAATTGGAGAGGTCTTCAAAAATCTACTTAACTACGAAAATTATTGATGAGTTATACTTACATTTGCTAATGCTTTTGTCTACTTAAAATGCAACAAAAAATGCAAAATTGGCCACAAATCACAAATGTAAATACAAATTCTTTAAATGTGACTTTCTTTCCAGTCATTAAAATTTTATAACTATTGAATTTTTTTAAACCTGAGAGCACTTACAATCCAGGATGAGCAAAGAATAAATAAAACTTAATTAGCCCCTTCCATGTTTAATTACAAAAACTTGATTCATTTTATGAAGTATCAGATTGTGCATCCAATCCTTTTGAACACTTCCTAGGATAACTGCTTTTACTGTGAATGACTGGGCTTTTTGTACATAAACAAGTAAAAGTGATAAGCAGTCCTTGGACCACAGAGGAAACAAGAAGTAGCACATTTCAAATGTGGTCAGCAATATATTATCTATGTTCACATAGCATTTTTAGTATTCAAAGCAGACAGTGCCTTCAATTACATAAGAGGAAATAAGCCCTGGAGTTGATGTGACTTCCCTGGAGCTATGGACAGTAAAAGAGTTAAAATACTCTCTACTGGACCAGAAATCTCATAAAAAGAAACATGGGCCTCAGATCAAGAGTGCATGTTCTAAAAGTTAGCACAGATTACAGTTCCAACTGTTAGGCTCCTTGACCAAATTTATTTAAGTACGGTGTAAAGTGGGATGTCTGAGCAGGTAAACTCTGTTCTCCATGTCATCCAGTCAATGGTTCACTCAACACACAAAACACAATAGCACCTACAATATATACAATAAGCAAAGGATGACAGTACAATGAGACAGACAGATATAAAAGATGATAATTATAATTAAATTTAAAGAGTTTGCTTAAAATGAAATATCTCTAAGACTTTATGGACCATCAGAAATGTCAGCTTTGCTGAACTTTGAACACTGAAGGAGGACTTGGACAACAGACACCGAGGCAAATGGGGCAGACTTGTGCTAAAGACCATTTTAGGCAGAGTGGAATACAACTTGTTCAAAGGCATGGAGCAAAAAAAGCAGAAAAAAGTCAAGAAATTACAAGCAGTTTTAAATGAAACATTCAGTTCATGACCAGGTGAGGAGACAGGCAATGGGGCAGGAAAGACTGGTTAATAGAAGGCATTAATATTTATGGAAAGAAGAAATGTAGAAAAGTTAAGGGGAGGGGTATGTGTGTCCAAATCATGAAGACACCAGGAAGCCAATGAAGAATTCTAGGAAGGATTACATGATCAGATCTGAGTTTCTAGAAGATTATTTTAATAGAAAGAACTGAAAGGAATGGACTAGAATGGAAGCAAATCTTTGAAAGAAAATAGACTGGTTCACAGTGCGTGCATTAGTTCCAGGGAGAAATAAAGAATGCCTAAATTAAAGAGAAGTACTCAGGATGGGAGTGGAATTCAAGCAGCTGAGATGGAGTGGAATCCAGGTAAGACAGGTTATGAGGAAAAAGAACCAAACACTACTGTCAGAGCACACTTATGACAGAAAGTGCTACAACATAAGGCCAATTACCCAGAGGGCAAGACCACAGAGTCTTATATACCACATTAAGGAGTTTTGACTTTATTTAGCAGATTATGAAAATCATACAAGGTTTTAAAATATGTATTTCTCACAGATCATTTTGGCAACCAGGTGGCAAGTGGGTTAAAAGTAGAAAAATCAGCCGGGCCGGGCGTGGCTCAACGGTTGAGCGTCGACCTAGGATCCAGGCGATCGGGATTCGATTCCCGGTAAGGGCACATGCCCAGGTTGTGGGCTCGATCCCCAGTTGGGGACGTGCAGGATCAATGACTCTCTCATCATTGATGTTTTTCTTTTCTCTTTTTTATAATATATCTTTATTGATTTCAGAGAGAGGAAAGGAGAGGAAGAGAGAGAGAGATAGAAACACCAATGATGAGAGAGTCATTGATCGGCTGCCTCCTGCAGGCCTCCTGACTGGGGATTGAGCCCTCAACCTGGGCATGTGCCCTGACCGGGAATCAAACCCCGATTGCCTGGATCCTAGGTCGACACTCAACTACTGAGCCATACCTGGCCAGGCTCATCATTGATGTTTCTATCTCTCTCTCTCCCTCTCCTTTCCTCTNACTGAGCCATACCTGGCCAGGCTCATCATTGATGTTTCTATCTCTCTCTCTCCCTCTCCTTTCCTCTCTCTGAAATCAATAAAGATATATTAAAAAAAAAAAAAAAGGCAGAAAAATCATAGGCACATGAGTGCAGACAGAAGATGAGGACCTAAGCTAGGGCAGAGTGGTAAGAAAATCACCATAACTTAGGGAATGACTGGGTGTTAAAGGAGGAGTCAGCTTTGGCTTACATGACAAAGGAGATGGTGATGCCAATAAATGAGATAGAGAATAAAAAATGATGCAAGGCTAGAGGGAAAAGAAGAGCTCATTATGAACATGCTGAGTTTCCAGTCAAAACAAAAGATAGAGATGTTTAGAAGGCACTTGGATACATAATCACACTATTCTGGGAAGAGGCAGTGTGTAGGTGGTCATAGAAATCATGAAACTGAAAATCAGAAAAGTACAAATTTAGAAGACATGTGGACAATGGACCAAATCTTGGAAAAACCAACAAGTAAGGGAAAGGTGGAGGTAAAAGTAAGTGAAAGAACGAGAGGAAGTAACAGAAAGTGCGAGAACATAATAACAGAATGGTATCATGACAATGAAGTTTTGAGAGGGCGAAACCCACAGTTTTAAAAGCAGCAAAATGCTACCCTAGCCAGTTTGGCTTACTGGTTAGAGCATCGGCCCGCAGTTTGAAGGGTCCTGGATTTGATTCCAGCCAAGGG